TGATGATGATGATGATGATGATGATGATGATGATGATGATGATGATGCCCTTTCACCCAAATAGCAAGTGATTATCCTTTACCAGCTGTTGTTGGCAATGGGATACACCCCCTAATCCCATCTGATTCCTGAACGCTTGGATTCTTGGATTTGCAAAAATACTGACCGGGGTGCCTTCACCCACAGGGAACATCAAGAATCACCTGAAGCAAAATCAGAAGTCACATGTCACCATCATCAACCTAGTTGCCAAGTCTTGCTGCTGGTGCTGGGGCCCAAGACAGACACGCTCTGAAAAATACGAACAATATATATATATATAGAGAGAGAGAGAGGGAGAACCACATGCAATAAAGATAAATAGTTACATAGTGTTCAAGCTCGCCAGCCTACCTGGTGCACGAGATCCTTGCATGCTCCACTATCTGATGAGAAACATGAGTAAAATGGGTTAGTGCCATTGATCCTGCAAGGGCATATCCCTGAGACATAGCGACAAGAATGGACAAGGCCACCTTCCTGATTCAACCCCAAGTCATTCTTAATGTAGACTCTTGACTAATACACTCCCCCATTTGAATTGGAAGTCTACATTACTGTGTATCATTTTGTATCCTAGTGTCATCGTATGGATGGCCGTTTGCCACCTCAGCAGGGATAGAAGTGCACTCAACGGAACGCGCCGCCGGAGATCGCAGCGGCGGGTCCTCCGCCCTCATGGACTTGGGCGAGGCAGCTGAGGCCTCATGGACTTGGCCTAGAAGGAGCCTATTGGGGTAGACAAATTCCACCATTTCGCGGAACGCACATGAGACTGAGATGTTCTTTTTCTCAGATGTGTCCAATGTTTTATTTCCAGATGTTTCCAATATGTCCAATTGAGTCATTAAAATGCATGATAATTCACATGCTGAGGATTTACATGACATGGACGTACTGGATCAGCTTGGATCTTACTGGACTCAGCACAACGCAGGACTCAGCAGGACCTGCGCCGTCTAAGCTGATGTCGACCGTGGATTTTGAAAAACCCCATTCGACCGTGCTGCTGGGCATTGATATGTTCTGATGTGTCTTGCCTTGAGAAATAGAAGGCGCCAACCCTCCAGCACCACAATCCGCAACAACTACCTGGTACAGTTACACGCGCCTAAAATTGCAATCAGCTTAGAATGACATCCTGGCCCACCCCATGCCCACTTCTTGCAAAAACCTTGTGGACTCGTTCTCTCTCTCTCTCTCTCTTTTTCTGTATTCCCTGAGAGTCAAAGACTAGTATAGTTCAAAAGAATTGTCTTTAGGGGGCCTCAAAGGGAACTACGTATAATATTATACGATATAATATGATATATAATTATGCATGATTAAAGTCTATAATATGTCTTTCATGGCTTTTCCTCTCTCCACCACCGGCCGACCCACCGGTGAGTCAAGTCTGCCTTCCGGACTGGCGCACCGCACCCCGACATACCCCTTCCCGCCCTCCGTGGCGGAAACGCCGCGTGGCGGGTCGGCCCAGGCTCTCCGTGGCGTAGGTGAAGCAGCTCTCCATCGACTCCATCGACCCACCGCGCTTCAGCTGCGCCCGCGCGGCGAACTGGCCAGTACGGCCGAAGCGGAGGCGGACATGTGCGGGAAACGGGGTGCGGACCAGACCGGGGAGTGCGGCCACAGGGGTGTTCTTTTGGGGTGGGGTTCTTGGAGGTTTTACACTCAACTATACTCAACTGTATTTTTTGGGGAAGGGATGCAAGCTAGGAAAATATAATTCACCTCACTCAAACTTCATTGTCTAGTGATGGGCCAATGGGTCTTTGTTTTCTGCACCAACCCCGACATGAAACGCTCAGGCTGGTCTTTCTTGTGCTTCCTGATGGAACGGAACCTACTTGCTCCGATGACTTGGCGAAAACAACCATTGCTCGCTCAAGAAGCGCATCTCTCCACGATCCAATCTCCAGCTGTCCCATTGATGTTCGTACCTTTCCCATGTTCCAAAATCTCTTTAAAAAAACACCCGTTCACCCTTCAGATTAACTCCTGTGCCCTGTACATACCTGTACATACCTGTAGAGGCTTCCTCAAGCGAACATCACATCACAATAGCAAGTGTTCAGGGCTCCAGGCATAGATTTGCTCCTCGTTTCATCCTGAAAGCCCCGTTCTTCCATGTCTCCCCCCTCCCCCTCCGCCCGCTCTTCACCGGGCGTCCCGGCTCCCGACTTCCGCTGTAGTAGGGCGATATTGGCCGCATCCTGGTCGCCCCAGCGCCGCTTGGGTCGCTGGGCTGCTCAGCTTTCCCCCTCAAGAAAATGGACCATATGGCCTTTTTTACACCAATATACGAGGTCGACCTCTTCAATCCTTACAAACAAACTCTAGTGGATTGACACCACTGGCACAGACACCGTCGGGGATTGCCATAGCCTGGATCTTCTGAGTGTCTCATCGGCCCGAGGACTCCAGTCTCCAGGACGGATCTCCAGTCTCGAGGATGGAGGTGGAGGGCTCAGCCCCGCCGTTGCAGAACATGGTTCACCGAACTGTCCAGCTGGATGTTCGTGGGCTGAAGAGCCCACGAACCAAGCAACAGGCTTTTGCCATGTGTTGCACTGTTTCCTGGGTAGGACCTCTTCTGCGGCAGGACCGGGCCCCGAGAAAATAGGCACCCTCCCACTTCCAGTATCTAAGGACGGAACGACCACCACCTCACGGTCCCCCACCTGCATGTCCATAGAGGTGAGCCGCCCTTGCGTACGAGCCTCGTTTCGGGTGGCGAAGATAGCCGCACAGAAGCCGACGTCCCGGGGGTCAAAGGACCAGTAGATGACACAAGCAGGATTCCATTAAACGAAGCCAAACCCTTTAATGAGCACCGTACTTTTGATGTGGTATGACCGTCCTGGTACAGGAGTGATATGTTCAGTCTGACAAATTCAAACGCCAACTCCTCGTGCCGCTCGACGGCTTTTCTCTCCCAGGAGCTGGTGGGGTCTTGCCAAAGATGGCATAAATGATCTGTTCTGTCCTGGGCGCGCTGAGCCGATGAGCTTCGACCGACGATTCGCTTCTGCATCTCCTGAGCTTCTCTCTCGCTAGTTCACCAGCTCTCACTCCAAGGGGCTGCTCTCACTCCACTGGGCTTTTTCAAGGCGTCAGCAACTGGTGGCTTTCAAGAGCCACCCACCAGTGGCTGCCGTACGGTACTGCTCAAAGCCCCAAAGATTGTTTTCCTGGTTGCCTACCATTGAAGGCTTGCCCTCTCCTGAAACGGACTAACATACCACCCACCTGGATGGGAGAACTCCTCCAATGCCTGGGTTGCTATCTATATACTATAGTTTATATTTATATAAATGTATAACAAAACACACTGTACAGTGACTGACATAAAATAATTTACATATATACGTTGGGAGGGTGCCCAAATATATCCAAATATCCTGCATCGTACAGACGCGGTGCATGGTTCTGATGGCCGTTGTTTCCATTGGATCTCAGGTTTCCCATTGGACCCCCCTAAGCCAAACACGAAGAAGGCACAGGGGAAACCTCCGCACTTGTGACATCGGTTCGGGCTGGTCATCCTGCTGCAAAATAACCTTCTGAAGTTAAATCATGTTAAAACCTACTATGGCTCCAAACATGTTCCTTGCCTGAGAACGACCACGTACCAAACGCTTGGGGTGACCGGTGTTGCTTTCCCTCGCCGCAAGGACTCCGACCCCCGTGGCGGACCGCACGAAAGTGAGCGAGCGACCGCTCGTATTGCGTCTGCAGCCGGTTCTGCCGGCGCAAGATGTCGGAGACGGAGACCATCATGTTCTGCCCATAAAGCCAGCGAGCGGAATCGACGGCCAGTGCCACCGTGCAGCTTTTGGTTGGGGGTCTTTGTGATACCGTGCCGAGTCACCGGGGAATCCCTGGTATGGAGGATCTGTCTTTCTTTCCAATGCGCGCCTGGTATTCGATGGATTCGGGTATAGGTTTACGCTCTTTTTCTTTCCAGGGACAAAAACCTCGTCGATGAGGATCCTTTGTTCTTTTTGTTCATCCTATATTTCGTCGCAAATAGCAAGCGCCGCCTGACCCTCCGAAAGCTCAGCAAAAGAGAGGACATTGTGACATTGTTATATTATAAGGTTTCGGAGTAGACATGGACACCCGTCTAAAATAAGCATCTTGGGGTTCGTGCCATCTACTCTGAAACCCGTCATCCTCTCTCGCTTTTTCTATAATATAGTTGAACCTGGTTCACGTTCTTCTTAGAGATGGGTCAAGAGCCCCTTGAACACTGAAGCCATCGTTGGCGCCAACGGACATCCATGTCCAAATTGTCCTCAAAACTCAGGCTCATGCAAATCCTGCACTGGGCACGCATGATTCCGCAGAATCAAAAGGAGCACAGAAAGGACCTCTTTTTAGCCGCTTTGGCCTTCGTTTCAATTGGCTGATAAGCACCTGCAAGGGACTTTGAGGCTGGAGGCTGCCTGGAGTGCAACATCCAGATCAATAACGATAGCCGGGACCACCACAGGAAAAAAAAGAACACACCGGTGTCCCCTTTCCAGCACTTAGCTGCCCCCCAAAAAAACGAAAAATACGATGTTCGGATCCTGAAAAGAAAATAACACACGCTTGGTCACTTGGCCTTGATCTCTGACACACCTGGGCGAACGATCCCGTCAGCCTTCATGTCAAACGCCGTTGGCACACCTCGCACCTTCCTGGAGCGTTGTACGCGGAGCATGGAGGGGAAAGCACGTGGAGCAGGAGTAGAAATCGGTCCCCAGCTGACTTGGTGCGTATTGAAGGAACCCACGGAATCAGAATCATCAGAATCATCATCATCATCATCATCATCATCATCATCATCATCATCATTGAACACTACTTAGTGAGTGTTGGTCTTGAACGCCAAGCGTACGGTTGTGGTTGGTGGATTGTCATGTCCAGGGCCGCTAGCCACTTTGCCAGGTGCATAGAAATAGAATTAAAGGACATGACAAAATGTTGTGATCTTCTTGTAGCCCTGGATCAGCACACCCTTCTAAAGCTTGGGACTTCGCTCTGGGTTCTAGCAACTCAGGCCGCCCTCATATCCAGAAAGGCTCCTTTGGCCGTCCCATAGGAGTTTGCAAAAACATCCTCTACAAACACCTGCAACCTGGGTCTGCCCCAATTCATGAGGGCTTCTGGACTGGTGATGCATCTCTCAAGCCGCAATCCGCCCCTCTGTAGAATGAGTCACACACCACTATATATAGGCTTCGAAGCATCATTCAGGCATGCGGTGTCGTTTTACACCGTCCAGGGGTGTCCGAGGACAATTCAAGCTGTGTCCAGCCCCGCCCGACAATTCCACAAAAGTTATCTTGATCCACCAAATTGCGTCATCTTACCAGCACATCCTCGAGACCGTTGAAACAGCCAATCACATCCAATCACCAACGTGCGGAAAGCAGCATCACCACGATGCATGACCCAGCATCTTCAACCATACCACGTAGCCTTTCTGAGCATCACGCGCACCAAGCGCATCTTTGATCGATCACTTGCTCCATGCTTGGGTCCCCAAAAATCCACTTTCTTGGAGGTCGACTGGCAGAAGGAAAGAAGGACTGCAGGCTTGTTTCAACTGCATGTTTGCCCAATGTGCGCTCCAGTCGTGCCTTCTGAGAAGTTGTTTGGGGTGGGTCTGGAGGGTCCAAATACCATGGGTGAACTTCTTCAAAAACTTGATCAGGTGTGAATCGAGAATGACACCCTGATGGGTCAAGGCAACCAAGGCACTTCACGCTTTCGTGAAACTGCAGGAAGGTGATCTGCCCCAGGTTATCCTGCCGAGCGAAGAACATGTTCTCCGCCCCTATAAGGTCCAGGACCGGACCCAGCTCCAAACGTGCTTCTGAAAACAAACGAAACATGAGTATATAGATCCCCCTTCCAATTCGCTCTCGAACCCGGGTTGTCCTATTTTTTAGAGGAAATTCGCACAGGGATGTATATATGCTAATTTTGGTTTGTATGATGAACTCCAGTCAAATGTGATCAAACCGTTTTTGACCTGCAGGGATTGAATCTGCTTGGTGCTATTCCGGTCAGGAAGATTCCGTTCATCAACAAATGCCTCTGACATCTGATGATCCCTAGTTGCTTCCTGTAAGCTTCTGTTGGACTCCTTTCATTGCCTTCACAACCGCCGCAGCGACTCGATACGCTCGTGGCGGCGAACCGGGCATACGCTCGACCCAAGACGCTCGACCCGCCCTCCTCGTCCAAAATGTCGAAGAGCTCTTCAGGCTGCTCCGCCGGGATCTGCGGATCCGTGCGATTCGACGGGATCGACCAGCGGTGGCGGTCCGGACGGTCGGTGGGGAAGGTCGGCCTCGAAGGCGCTCCAAATGTGTCACTCGGTATCCCATTCCCTGGGGCCCAGTGGATGATGCTTGATTAAAGGCCTTTCTTAAACAAGAATACGATCATCGTTGATAGACTGTTACAGGAAATGGGACACCCCCTATCCAAACCGTGTTCTGTGGCGTATAGTTCTTTGGAGGGAAGATTCTCATTGGGGTGAAAGCCTTCCAGGTAGGTCAGACCAAAGAAGCCCTCCAGCAGGTCGATGGGGCGCGTTGGGGCATTGGGCGATGGTACCGATGCCCCTCGCTGTCTGGCCACGGTCCACGCTGTCTGTCTGCACGGTCCACCACTTCCGGAACTCCCAGGCTCTGTCCCATGTCAAGAGGAAGAACTGCTAAGGCCTTACTAGTGTCTGAACATAGGTTTCAACAGGGCCTGGGTGTAGGGGGGTGGGGGTAGAGTAGCCATGATGTTTGCCGTGAAGCATTTAGAGTTTGGGCACTGTATGGCTCTGACTCCCTCTGCTCATTTGCGACCTGCCTCCATGCGCAGGAGGGCCGTTTTGACTTCATGGCGTTGACCTCGGGGTCGGAGATTGACACTTCAGAGAGTAGAGGAGGTTTCTGCAATTGGATTGGCCAAATGCCAAACATCCTAGGCCTGACGAATGCATTACTGTCATTAGCCCTGGTAAGTGCTTCCAATATCTTCCAATTCTAGAAATAGGTCGTAGTTGTAGTTCATTCTTTGCTAGCTTTCTCCACCACTAACCGGTCTTTGGTCTCTTTGCCTTTTCTTGCCGAGAGCAGTTCGCAGGATTTCGCAGGTGTGATACACTACGTAAGGGCCACAGCCGTCGATTGTAAAAGTACTTCACGCCCAGCAATCATACAGAAAAAGGACAGGATTCCTCCTTGACCCGAAGTGTTTATCAACCACGGGAAAGGCATGAACAACGCCATAACTGTTTCAACATCGACATCAACATCCTTCCAAGACTTTACAAACACACACTTCCAAACACCTTCCCATACAAATACGCTTGCAAACACACTTTACAAATACAAGACCTTCCATACAATACGTTATTCACACCCCAAAACACCCAAAAACACCCAGCTCTTTCTGCCTTCTTCTTCCGATTTCTTCACGACAAATCCAAGCCCAGTGACAAATCTCCACGAATTCTTCACGGTCCAAGGTCCCGCTCCCATCGAAGTCGGCGGTCTGCGCCGTCGTGTTCGGCGACGAGTCAGGTGACCGCGGTGTTTGGGTGCGAAGAAGCTGCTCTAGCGGAAGAGGAGGCGAACTTGGGGGGGAGAACAACAAATCCATGTGGGAGAACAACAACAACAACAACAACAACAACAACATGTAAGCTCAAGTAGATGAAACATGGCGCTAAAATGGCAGCGCTTTGCCTTCCAAGCATTGCCCAACAATACTGTGCTTTTCGCACATCGGTTATTGCATGTGATAGGCGCTCCAGCACCTGCAAGCTTCTGAAACCCAGTCCAAAAGCTCTTGCAAAAAACCGACAGATTCGTGCTTCGAGACCTACACCCTGAGGTAGTTCCCGGACAATCCATGGGATGAGACATGGTGGGATGTGGATGATGATGATGATGATGATGATGATGATGATGATGATGATGATGA